CCTCTTGTACAATGTTGCGAACCTCCGTCCATAGTTCCTCAGACACTCTGTCTATCAGATCTAATTCCTTAAATCTATTTGTCACCTCTACTGTATATTCATCAGGAATATGATTTAGGTCATACTTGAGTGGCCTAGTGCTTTTCCTTACTTTGTTCAATTTAAGCCTAAACTTTGTAACAAGAAGCTCATGATCTGAGCCACAGCCAGCTCCTGGTCTAGTTTTTCCTGACTGTATAGAGCTTCTCCATCTGTGGTTGCAGAGCACATAGTCCATCTGATTTCTGTGTTGACTGTCTGGTGAGGTCAATGTGTAGAGTCATCTCTTGGGCTGTTGGAAAAGAGTGTTTGCTATGACCATCGTATTCTCTTGACAAAATTGTACCAGCCTGTGCCCTGCTTCATTTTGTACTCCCAGGCCAAACTTGCCTGTTATTCTGGTTATCTTTTGGCTTCCTACTTTAGCATTCCAATCCCCCATGATGATAAGGACATCCTTTTTGGTGTTAATTCTAGAAGGTGTTGTAGGCCTTCAAAGAACCAGTCAACTTCAGCCTCTTCAGCATCAGTGGTTGGGACATAGACTTGGACTATTGTGATGTTGAATGGTTTGCCCTGGATTCAAACTGAGATCATTCTGTCATTTTGGAGATTGTATCCCAGTACTGCTTTTCCTACTCTTTTATTGACTATGAAAGCTACTCCATTTCTTCTGAGGGATTCTTGCCCGCAGCAGTATACCTGATGGTCACCTGAATTAAATTCACCCATTCCTGTCCATTTTAGTTCACTGATTCCTAAGATGTCGATGTTCAGTCTTGTCATCTTGTTTGACCACATCCAGCTTGCCTTGATTCATAGATCTTACATTCCAGGTTCCTATGCAGTACTGTTCTTTACAGCATCGGACTCTCCTTTCACCACCAGGTACATCTACAACTGAGTGTCCTTTCGGCTTTGACCCAGTTGCTTCATTCTTTCTGGCGCTACTAGTACTAGCCCTCTGCTTTTCCACAGTAGCACATTGGACACCTTCTGACCTGAGGGGCTCATCTTCTGGCATCATATCTTTTTGCCTTTTGGTACTGTCCATGGGGTTTTCATGGCAAAGATACTGGAGTGGGTTGCCATTTCCTTCTCCAGTGGATCACCTTTTGTCAGAGCTCTCTGCTATGACCTGTCCATCTTGGGTGGCCCTGTACAGCATAGCTCATAGCTTCATTGAGCTACGCAAGCCCCTTTGCCTCGACAAGGCAGTGATCCATGAAGGAGATACAACATATAATTATGTATACAGTTTATCTAGTTTTAAGTCTCACCTGCTTTATTCTAAACAATATATTACAAATTGCTGTGACATAATTCATTTCTAGGTCATGACATAACATCTTTTTAGTGCACTGTTTAGAATAAAGAATAGTTTACATTCATATGCACAGCCCAAAATCTGGCATAGATTCAGTCATAATTCTACACCTATTACTTTGACATAGAATTCTCTAACTGAAAGCGATTTCCAAAGAACTGATTCATTTATTACTTGGGAAAAATATATTCTGGGTTCAATTTGAAATGGTAACTTAGAAAGTTCGGTACTTTCTGCTCAAATTTTCCCTCATAGTTCCATGAAATTGTTACAGTAGCTTATCCCTATTTGTTCCCTAGTTTTTAAGCTTGTTCAAATAGTTCCAGGCTTAGTCTTGCTTAAAATAGACCTATTGAAACAAACCAGACAAATTAGCCATAACTTATTTATAAGTTCCACTGATTTCAGTGCGCTTACGTTAAACATGAGAGTCTGGGTTCAACACACAGTACTTTAGAATACAGCAGGGGTGGCTAGATTTGCTCAGTGGAAGAGCTACATACAGTAAATGTCAGATGTCTGAGAGCTGCAAGATGTGAACAAATATTTATTATGATTTTATAGAAGTGTGTTCTTATCAATGTATTTTAATGTGCATGATAAGACACATAGACACCTGGAACACTAACTGTGGGATGACCTTCCAAAGAAATTGACCTTTAGAAACAAGAACTCCTCAAAGCAAATGTCATGTTAATCAAAAATAGCAGGATTTTGTACTGTTTTCACAGACAGAATCCTGGCAATTATACTTTAGTGGAAAGTGCTGAGAATTCTTTGTTAGAATTCTGACTTGAAGACCATGTACTATCAGAGACTTCCACATTCAGGAAGAGGGTCAAAAGAAAGTTGGCTTTCTTTTTAAAGCCAACAGGAGCAGTGCAGAATATGACGGGGTGAGTTTTCATAAGGCCGCTGGCCCAACCTGCTGTCTTCCTGAAAATGGAGCAAATAGCACATGGGAGGTTGTTACTTTCAGTATCTCTTCCTTTCCTACCCAATTACTCCATGCTCACTCGCAAAGGTATGTAGTAAGAGCTCACAGTCGGCTGGATCTTCTCCATCTTTAACTTCTTCACCAGGGGTAGGGTGGCAGCCAAGGTGGCTGCTGTTAAAGACAGGGAGGAAATGCCACCACCATCAGAATAGCCACTGCTATTGCTGTTACCTGCAGTAGCATCACTGGATTTGCCACCTGGAGCAGCAGTGGAGGTAGTACCACAAAAATGCCTTTGTGCTCATCAGCAGGAGTGGCTGGATAATGCTGGGGTGAGACTCAAGAAGAGAGTGGAATGGGCTGGTGGCCTTGGGAGAAGTCACCGCGATCATGCCCGTGCCCTCACTGGGATCCAGAATGGGGGTACTCTGAGCCCTGTGCGAATCACAAATTATACTCAAAAAGCCTTGGTTTGGCTATCTCTGAAATACAGAATAGGTGTCGTGCCTAACGACTCAAAGGAGTCATTAGCACGAGTGAGAGAACAAGAAGCTCCCAGCGAGAGTCAGGCCTTAGAGCAAGAAGATTTCTATTTGATGCCCATTGCACAAACATTCCCCCCGCCACCTGACTTTGACGAAGCTTTTCTTCAGCCAGAGCAAGTCAACATTCTTCAGAGAGATAACGTAGCTAGTGGAAGAACCCGTTGCTATGGAGAGTGCCCAACACAGGAGGAGACTTCACTGCTTGAGCCAATTAGAGGCAAGAGAAAGTGAAAGAAGAAGAGAGAGTTTATCTAGCCCTCATGGGGAGGGCGCTCCCGTCGGGTGAAGGGTGCGTCATACATCTCAGATAGGTCAGAAAGGAGGGGCCAACTGTGTTGCTTAGAACTACCATTAACAGCTCCTGTATTATTCCTTGCCTGCGTATCTTTGAAGTTATTTAGAATAAAAGGCTTTAAACCTTCATTGCCTGTTCCTGTGTGAGTAATTAGGAAGAGTGCTCTGGCCTCACAACAATAGGGTGGAAGAGCCAAGAAACTGTAAGCAGGAGAAGCTGTTTAATGTTTTCCCACTTGAGCCATTTTTTACTAAAAATTTCCTCCCAGATGTTCCACTCTCCGCCATCATGCAGTTATGAAGGGTGTATGATGCACAGATCACTTTGATGTAATTTGGCTCTGTACTACTGGAGAATGAAACCCCAGGATCCTTTTTATCTGTCACATGGCTTTACTTTTGTGAAATGACTGGTACTGCAAAATCAGTATTAAGTTAATTTCTTGGGCCTGCTAGTAATTTAAACCATTACAAAAGACCTGTTTGGCTGAGGTATACATATGAGAATATCACCTGCCAATAAAGATTAGAATCAAGCAAGTATGTTGGTCTGTTATGCTAACATTCACAGACTTCACAAAAATAATGCCTTTATTAATGCTACCCAAGAACCACAATATAGAATACATCTGATGTTTCCCAGAAACAATTAGCAGGGATGCAATCTGCAAATATTATTGGACTAGAGCTATTTTGGTTTTAAAATTTACATAGTTGAAGCTTTATGACATTGCTTCAGTACATAGTTGAATTATGGAATTCATTTCCAGAAGATGGAGTGCAGGCCACCAGTTCTGAAAGCTTTAAAAGCAGTTTGGATAAATTCATGAAGAATACAGTTAACATTAGCTATTAATCGTAATGGCTATATGATATCTCCAGTATCAGAGGCAGTATGCTTAGGTCCAAAAGTTGCTGGAGAATATGGATGGGAGGGTATTGTAGCATTTGTGCCCTCCTTGTGGGTCCTTTGGACAGTTGGTCACTGTGCAAATAGAATGTCAGATCCTTGGTCTGATCCAGAATGACTCTTATGTTTTCACTAATATGACTGCAGTGAAGCATTCTGAAGATAACCATTCTGAAGATACTAATGTTTCTAGTTGTATAATTATATGGTATAACAGCAATGCAGAATGAAACAGATTTAAATTGTACATATAGATATCTCTGTCCTACTCTAAAGTCTAAAATACTAAACTGTATGTTTTGCTTTGGCAAACTTCTTGCGCTGCAGTTTTTCAGGAAACACCTGCCAAATGTTTTAATTTCCTAATGATACCACTTTATCAACAATTTCCAGTTACGAGGTGTTACACTTTGACTATAAAGACACATATTGTTGTAGCAATTAATACCAATCAGTGGTCTAATTACACAGAGTTATGTCTCAATATTTCAGCTTTGCGGAAATGTGATCCCCTAGATAGTCCAAACGTTTTGATGTGTTCTTGTATTCCAACCCCATTAAGTATTTCACACATAGTTTTCACTTAAAATGTTAAAAGAGTTCCAACTCCTATACTTCGTTTTCTTTTTTGGCAGACCTGATCAATTTAGTGAAGCATCTAGTTTTTATAAATGAGCTGCTTGGCAGCCTAACAAAGCAGAAAGAGAGAGAGAGAGAGAGAGAGAGAGAGAGAGAAGAATTGCAAAAGCCTCCAATACAATCTTACACTGATGCTGCCATGTAAGCCCAACTGTTTTTACACTGAGTTTTAAAACAGCATATAGGATCCATTCAATTTTGGGATATCATTGAGAAATATTTTGTAATGCATAGAAAAATCCCACAGAGCATGGCACTTAATAAAGGTATAAAAGATGCTCTTTTTCCTGTTCAGTGTCCTATTTGGGATGAAAACTAGCAGGTTTTGACCACAGGGGAGCCATATTGCACAGCATCAGCCTTGCTAGCAACATCTTCTGTACCTTCATAGCACCTTTGTTTACTGTACCAGTACCAGAGAGTACCAGTGATTTGGCAGCCTTGACAAAGAAGATCAGTAGGAAGCCACTTATATGCAGGAACTTGAAGTAAATTTAATCTGCATTCAAAACAGAAGCTGAACAAAAAAGTGAAAAAGGGAAGCTGCATTGCAGGTAAGACCCAAGGCATATGTTCTTCCTTGTGAGCTCTGTGCATCATACAGATGGGCTGTGCACCTGCATGGTGCCTCATTTTGGGACAGTTCTATGGCTGAGGAATTTAGGCATGAAACCCTCTGCTGCTGTTGGATTACACATGTCCCTCATGGGTTCCTGCTTGTTCCCTTAGTTCTTCCTAGATCAGCATTGTGGCTGCATCTTGGAGAGAGTTTCTGATCTTTCTTGACTGCATTAACCGAAGAAAAAGACATTTTTAAAAACCTCAGTCTTCTGTTGTTATCTCTCTCAAACTTCACAATCAGTTCTTAGCATGTGGGTGTGTGGCTTTAAAAACCATTTTTTAAAAGTGGGGCCAATGTGATGGTAAGTTACTGCTACAGAGAGGGACAACCCCCTTTCCTTTTTTTGCCTAGGTGAGGGTTGTATTGTGGATGCTTGCCTTCATTCTCATGTGTTCACCAAGCAAGCAAGAAATAACTGTTTGATTGCCTTAGAAGAGATCCCTAGAAGCTGTTGGGCTCTGCAAAACAGGACGGACATGGTGATGCCTGTTCCACATTGCATAGAACCATTCATATCTGCTTCTACTATATGCATGGTTCCAGCCATTTCTACATAAGCATTCAGCTGGACTATTCCCATTTCTTACAGTTCCACATTGGTTCTGACCCTTATGAGTTCAAAGTCCTATTATTTGGTCTGTCAACAGCACCAAGGATCTTTACTAAATGTAAGGCTGTTGTGTGCACCCACCTGAGCCTTCAAGGGGTACAAATCCACCTTTATCTAGATGGCAGGTTGTTAGTGGCTGCTTCCAAAAATGAACTTTTCGAATCCATTTTGAAGGCATGTATTCTTCTCCAGGAACTTGGATTGTGTATTAACAATGAAAATCCATGCTTACTCCCTCATAGACCATCACATACATCAGAGCCTGCCTGAACGCTTTGTTAGCCCAAGTCTATCTACCATCAGACTGTTTCAAGAAATTCACCATATCAGCTCTTCACCTTCACTCCGAACCAAGATCTACCATTTGTAGAATTCAGCAACTACTAGGACATAGGGCATCTACTGTGGCAGTAGTCCAGTATGCACAGCTGTGCATGAGACCACTCCAATTGCAGTTTATGAAGGCATACAGTACCATCCCAACTGCAACTCACCTCAGAAATATCTCGTACTGGCCCGATGCATAAAAGTGAGGTACCCTGGTGGATGAACAAGTCCAACTTCATCCAAGGACTACCTTTCATGCTGCCAGAACCAATAGTGACAGTGACTAAGAACATATCACTTACCATTTGGAGTACCGACTCTGGGCATTACCAAATGCAAGGCCTATGGACTGGATCAGACCGGAGAAAGCATTTCAACCATCTAGAATTCCTTGCTGTCCACAAGGCACTAATCTCTTTCCAAAAGATACTGAACAGGAAACATATCAAGTTGCCTCAGACAATACAACAGTAGTATTCTATCTCAACAAACAGTGGCACAAGGTCCGCTTCTCTAAATCATCTAACCATAGAAATACGGGACTGGTGTATCCACCAGAACATATCTCTGGTTGCTGTCCATGTGGCAGGCACGCTGAATACCATGGCAGATGCCCTCAGTAAGATGCCATTCCAGCCACAGGAATGAGAACTGAATGTAGATATCAGGAATCACATCTTTGTTGTCTGGGGCATGCTGTCCACCAACCTGTTCGCAACGGAGAACAATGCTGCATACAGCGCCTACTGCTCCCTACAATCACCTCCTCCAACCTCGATGCTGGTAGTGAGTCACAGTGTAGAAGACAGTACTGATAGCCTCTACACGGGGAAAATTATGCGACTCTACTCCAGCTCAGGACCAAACTTGGCTCCTCACCCTGACTGCTTCACCGTGGAGAGATGTACCTGATCCAGAAACATTGTAGTATTACTTCTCATAGTATGGACAGTACGGTTCCCCACTTTTTCCCTCTCCAGCAGACCTAGACAAGCCTTAGAAACATAGCACTTTTAGTTGAGTTTAATGTTTTACAAAATAACATACATCAGAATTAAAATCTCTTTGAAATGTGGGATAAGCATTTGCCAATGTGAAGAGTTGAATCCAAACTGGAATATCTCCTCCTTCATTCCCTTTCATAATGATTCTGGCTCTGTCCTCAGGGTGGTCCTGTTGCTTAAGGACTTATATTTCTTTATTGTCCATCAGCTCAGAGGCTCCCTGCACAGTTTACAAATCGTGCAAATGTTGAACATTTCTTTACTGGTCTGCTCTCTTTACCTGATGTCCTTCCCACTCAGTTCTGAAATTTCTCCTTCTTTTTCCAAGGCGGGCTGGTGCTTACACTCTTCACTTGGGAATCTTGAAACTGCAAGGTCACTGCTTCCCTCTGCCCCCTCCTTAGAATTGGACAAATATTAGGAGACTAATAAGGGAGAGCTGGGTTGCTCTCTACACATAGAGGGCTCGTTATGAATACAGACCAAGACATTGATCTATTTCCCTGCTATTAGATTTGGATCATCATCATGGGTGGCCCTTAACTCCAAGGAGGCCCTATGAGAGGAGTGTTATAAGAGACAGGACCATGAACCCTACTGTCGGCATATAGAGCCACCATCACTGCCCCATGACTTATCCTTATGTTAATAGGTCCATGCAGGAATTACCAGGGGCAAGGGTCCCCAGCCTTTTGGAGCTGTGGGTATATTTGGAAATTTCAGCAAATTCTGTGGGAACAACTACAAATCAACTCTCATGGATGTGGCTAGTCATATACTGACTGCCATGGGAGTCTGACTAGGCAAAGATAAATAATTGGACCAAGTTAACTGAATACAAGCAGACAAATTGAAAGACCAATTCATATATTTGACCCCACCTAAGCTCAATAAAATACCCATTTAAGGTTGCAATCCTATGCACTCTTACATGGAATTTGATGAAAATTCTGAGAAGATCTACATAGGATTGCCCTTTCTCATCCTAGCAATGCACATGCTGTCCTCAACGTCCAAAAAGTGGAAAAACCCTTTCCCTACCTCAGTCCAAAGCTCACCCGACTATTCCACAACTTTTACTTTTACTTCCTCTTCTGTTGCCAAAGTCCAGCCCGATAAGGTGATCCATATGTCTGTGAATGAGATAAGGGGCTGAGAAAGGAAAAAGAGTAAGGCTGAGAAGAAAGAAAAAGGAAAAAGAGTAAGGCTGAGAAGAATAAGACACATCAAAATAAATGAGTTAGAGGAAGAGAAGAGCATGGTTAGGTTCCAGATCCAGGAAAGAAAGACAAGACAAGCAGGAGAGGAACAGCACAAGTGAGGGGAGAAGGAGGAAAGATGGAGAATAAGCAAGGCAAATGATAGCAGAGAAAAAAGGCCAGGAGGAAGGCTGGAATGGAGGAGAAAAGATAAATAAACCAGTAGGGGAGATAAAGAGCAAGAGGAGAGACTGGGAGAAGAGGCAAAGAACATTTGGTAAAGGTCAATATGACTTGAAGAAGATGTGTAAGGCCAGGAAGAAGCTACTCTTTTCTTCTCTTCTTGTCCACCTAACTGATAACTAGCAAGTTCAGAAGCGAGGAGGAGAACCTGGCCTCCTGTTTTAAAAATTGAAAAGCATTTTTGCAAAATGGGGGGGAGGGAGTGAAAAGATCAATGGATGCCCTGGAAGTCCTCACAAGTGCACTGACACCTTGTTGAGACCCTTGGGTGAATGGCCTTTGATTGCTCAATTTGAATTTCCTTCTCTGGAAGTCGCCAGATAGCTTAGAAATACCCCAGTGGAAGAAACCTTCCTTTTACCTTCAACAGACTGACAAGAAGGCAAGAGTTTGTCACACTGCAGAGCCAAAGCTGTTCCTCACCTATAAAGTGCCTTGGTTGGTTAAGTATGTTTTAATGAGCTAATTCTGTGTTTCGTGTTATTTTAAACGCAGCTCACCATTTCTGAACTTTTCTTTGCTTGGTCCTTAAATAAACATGCTCAGCTGGAAATGAGTTGATGTAGGCATTTTGCCTATTCTGACATGGCCCACTGAGACCACTTAGTGCATTCTACCACTGTTTTAAGGCATTTAAAGGAGGCTTACCCCTCTCCATAAATATAAACCATAATCCCCGATGTGCATATGCAGGCTAAGTCCGATTATAAATTCCATGATTGTTAGAAGTGGACCTCTGAAATAGCCAACAAAGGATGGCCTACAGCTTATGCTACCTTGTCGATTTGGAAGTGTAGATTCCTACAGGCTTGCAATCAAATTAGGTGCAATCCCAGCCAAAACAGTCTGGATCACAGGAATTTTCCTTTCTGTGGAGAGCTTCTGGCCACTGTGTGGGGTGACTGAGGAATTTTTTCTTATTCTATTGGGATTTAATGACAGATCAAGGCCAAAAGTCTTCATGCCTGCCTCCTGCTGAAAAATAATAGAAACCCCACCCCACAACTAATTCTTACAAGTAAGCCTAGATGCCTGTAACTTAACAAGTCTCCATAGCCCTTTGAAGGACTATACTTCTAAGACTTTTAATTTGGAGACTAGACCCCAAAGAAAAGCCTTCAACCCCCAAGTTTTGGAGCTTAGTGCTAAAGATTCTGCCTCTGTGCAGCTGATTATAGGAATTAAGCTTCAGTGCTAAACATGCTCTTGCTCTCTGTTTCTGACTGATCTCTGCCATCTCCCACAATTGTTGCTTTCTCAGAAGAGACCTTGATATCAGCTATCTTCAAATGACAGTTACACAAATCGTAACAATTA